AGCTAAGAACTTCACAACCTAAATGTCCCTCAATAATGGGCATAATGAAGAAACTATAGAAATATTCATATGTTGTAATGCTACATAGCAATGAAAAGTGCTGCTACCAGTACCAGTATAAATAAATCTCATCAACTTAATATCAGGGGGAAAGTGAATATGCTTTTGTGCCTATTCATTTTATTTATGCAGCATTTATATAGAGGCAAAACTACCACCTTTGGGGTAATTAGGAAGGAGCATAAGTAGGGGTTTCTGGGGTCAGTTAATGTTGTATTTCCTGTTTGCGGGATATTTACATGGAAATACTCATTTTTGTAAATTCATGCTATGTGCTTATGAATTGTGTACTTTTCTGTGTATATATTATAGACAATAAAAGAGCTTAATTAAAAATAGACACCATTTCTTTGCCATCTTAGAGCTTTTATTTCAGTAGGTAGCAGATATTAAACATATGCATATAAAAATGCATATATGGCTATGAATTATGAACATTTAGGAAGGCAAAGAAAAAGGTGCTATGAGATCAAGTTACTGAGGGGGATCTGCTTTTATATTGGACTAGAGGCCCGGTGCACAAATTTGTGCATGGGTGGGGTCCCTTGGCCTTGCCGGGAATCAGGGCCAACTGGGGCCAGCTGGCTGGGTGAGGGGGGGTGGCAGCGGAGGTTGGCCAGCCACGGGAGGTTGGCTGTGGGAGTGCACTGATCACCAGGTGGTAGCTCCTGCATCGAGCGTCTGCCCCCTGGTGGTCAATGCGCATCATAGCGACCGGTCGTTCAGTTGACCTTTCATAACAGTCACTTAGGCTTTTATATATACTAGAGGCCCGGTACACGAAATTCATGCACTGGGGGGTGGAGGTCCCTCAGCCCAGCCTGCCCCTCTCACAGTCTGGGAGCCCTCAGTAGATGTCCTACTGACAGCCACAGTCTGGCAGCAGAGGCTCGGAGCAGGCGCCCCGTGTCTGTGTGTGTGTGTGTGTGTGTGTGTGTGTGTAAGTGTGTGTCCCCACTGGGGGCCTGCCCCCAGCAGCGTAGGAAGCTCGGAGCAGGCACCCATGTGTGTGTGTGTGTGAGTGTGTGTGTATGTGTGTCTGTCTGCTGGGGGCCTGCCCCCAGCCACACCATGGAGGCTTGGAGCAGGTGCCCCTCTGTGTTAATCTCTCAGGCTCCTGGCCTCGCCTGCTTGTTGTTCTCTCCCTTGAGCTGTGGCCAGGGTGGGGTGCTGCCTGCAGGCTGCGCTTGCCTGCTCGCAGATCGCCACAGTGACCCTGCAAGCAGGCCCTGCTGGGGGCTGCCTGCTGGGGGCTGCTGCGGGCAGTGCTTTCCTGCTCGCAGATCACCATGGCGACCCAGGAGCAGGCCCTGCTGGGTGCTGCCTGTTGGGGGCTGCCTGTGGGCTGCGCTTTCCTGCTCACGGATCACCATGGCTACCCGGGAGCAGGCCCTGCTGGGTGCTGCCTGCAGGCCGCACTTTTCTGCTCGTGGCTCACCACAGGAACCTGGGAGCAGGCCCGGCTGGGGGCTGCCTGCTCGAGGATCGCCACAGCAACCCGGGAGCAGGCCTGCTGGGTGCTGCCTGCGGGCCACGCTTTCCTGCTCGACGGCCGCGGGAACTGCTCATGGGTCTCCAAGGCAATGACTGCTGGGCTCACGTTGCCAGGGTGACGCCGCCAAGCATCCTGCCCCGCTGCTATGGGCGCCGCCATCTTTGCCGAGGATGTCAGACTGCCAGTTTCAGCCTGATCCCCACAGGCCAGGCCAAGGGACCCCACTGGTGCATGAATCCATGCACTGGGCCTCTAATATGCATATAAGATCTTTGGTTAATCTCTTCCTGCCCTCCCCCCTCCCCCCTTCCCTCTGAGATTCATCAGTCTGTTCCATGTTTCCATGCCTGTGCGTTGAGCGTCTGTCCCCTGGTGGTCAGTGTGAGTCATAGCTACCCATCGAACTGTCGCTTAAGCTTTTATATATATAGACTAGTGGCCCGGTGCACGAAATTTGTGCACGGGGAGTGTCCCTCAGCCCAGCCTGCACCCTCTCCAATCTGGAACCCCTAGGGGATGTCCGACTGCCGGTTTAGGCCCGATCCCTGTGGGGCCTAAACCGGCAGTCGGACACCCCTCTCACAATCCTGGACCGCTGGCTCCTAACCACTCACCTGCCTGCCTGCCTGCCTGATCACCCCTGACCACTCTGCCTGCCGGCCTGCTCACCCCTAACTGCCCCTCCTGCCGGCCTGCTCGCCCCCAACTGCCCTCCCCTGCCGGCCTGATCATCCTAACCTCCTCTGCCTCAGCCCCACCACCATGGCTTTGTCCAGAAGGATGTCCAGAAGGTCTCCCAGAAGGCCTCCCAGTCTAATTAGAATATTAGCCCTTTATTAGTATAGATGTTTTGGCCAAGTCCCTATGAGAAAGAGTTATTTAAGCTCTGTGAGGGAAGTGGTATAAGGTAAGGTTGGAGATTAGGACATACTTGATCTTCATCCCAAGATCAGTGGGTAGTTTTTAGAAGTCATTAGCAGGCCCATTATGTGATTTGATCTAAGTTTTAAAGTAATTACTCTGTAAATCATGGATTTGAAAATGAGCCAAAGGTGAATGCAGTTGGACTGTTTAGAGGCTATTGCAATGCTCCAGGTAAGAGTGATGACATCAGTGATCTAGCCAGGTCTGCCAAGTTTTCATGTAAAAAATACCTGCTGTTTCTGTTCGGTTTTGACATTGGAGCATGACAGTGGCCATCAACAAAACATAAATAAATGAGCATGGCTGTGCTCCAGCCAGGTTTATTTATAGAAGCAGGTGGCATAGTTCACCACCCTTTGGTCTAGAGCAGTGGTTCTCAACCTTCTGGCCCTTTAAATACAGTTCCTCATGTTGTGACCCAACCATAAAATTATTTTCATTGCTACTTCATAACTGTAATGTTGCTACTGTTATGAATCGTAATGTAAATATCTGATATGCAGGATGGTCTTAGGTGACCCCTGTGAAAGGGTCGTTTGACCGCCAAAGGGGTCGCGACCCACAGGTTGAGAACCACTGGTCTAGAGAGAAGATAACAAATGTTAGCATATATTTTGAAAGTAGATTTAACTGGATATGATTGGACATTGGAAGTGTAGATGAGAGATTTCAACATTAATTTCTAGGGTTCTTGCTGGAGAAATTTATGGATTATGGCATTTGCTGATTAGGGAACAAGTTAGTTAAAAATCTAGGCCCAGTCACCTAAAATAGTGAGTAGTGATATGTCAGGGTTCCAGTGTTTTCCTCATCTTTGGTCTATAAGGACAATATGACGATGTTTTGTGGAGTTTTTACCACCATGACAATCATGAATAGAAATACTTACGTTTTATTCTTTTATACACATACCAGAGGCCCGGTGCATGAAATTCATGCATGGGGGGGGGGGTCCCTTCAGCCCAGCCTGCACCCTCTCCAATCTGGGACCCCTCGGGGGATGTCCGACTGCCAGTTTAGGCCCCAGGATTGGGCCTAAACTGGCAGTTGGACATTCCTCTCAGAATCCTGGACCGCAGGCTCCTAATCGCTCACCTGCCTGCCTGCCTGGCTGCCCCCAACTGCCCCATCCCTGCCTGCCTGGTCACTCCTAACTGCCCCCCTGCCAGCCTGGTCACCCCTTACTGCCACCCCTGCTGGTCTGGTCACCCCCAACTGCTCCCCTCTGCTGGCCTGGTCGCCCCTAACTGCCCCCCGCTGCTGGCTTGGTCTCCCCCAATTCTCCCCCCTGCTGGCATGGTCGCCCCCAACTGTCCCCCCTGCTGGCCTGGTCGCCCCACACAGCCTGCTTGTTCAGTCATTTGGTCATCCCTCACTAACCCCCCTGCTGACCTGGTCATAGGCAGCCATCTTGTAAGGGTGTGAGGGTTAATTTGCATATTACCTCTTTATTATATAGGACTAGTCATTTATTATACTAAGAGTTAAAAAGTGAGAAAAGAAAAAAGTAAAAGCTAATCAATTGTATTGATTAGTTCTTTTGTGTTTTGTGCTAATAGTAGGAAAGAAATAGTATATATTTGTCTAAGGCTCATGTTGTTTCCTTGACAATATATCTATAGACTCATTTTCTCCCTCCTTTCAAAAGTAACACCCCCCCACCTCTATTCCTAACTGCCGTCCTTATAAGGACAAACCAGAGAATATACAGATTAAAAGACATTTTGTGCTGATTCTTATCATACATGAATGTCATTGGGGATAGAGTGGTAGCTAAATGGAGCTGCCTTCTGTTGTTTTTCATACTTCCTTTTTCTAAGAGGCTCCTTTTCAAGTAGTTGCCTTATTACCATTTTTATATCAAAATTATAACACCAATTAGATTTTCTTTATACTTTTATGAGTTTGGGGTTTTGTATTTGATTAATTTTTTTCATTTAAATCCTTTATTATTGAAAGTATTACATATGTCTCCTTTTTTCCCCACATTGACCTCTCCCTGGCTGCTCCCACCCCCCAGCATATGCCCTCATCCCCCTATTGTCTGTGTCCATTGGTTATGCTTATATGCATGCATACAAGTCCTTTGGTTGATCTCTTACCACGCCCCCCTCCCACCCTACCCTGTCTTCCCTCTGAGGTTTCATGGTCTATTTGATGTTTCTATATCTCTATATTTTTGTTCAGCAGTTTACATTGTTCATTATATTCCACAAATGAGTGAGATCATGTGATACTTATCCTTCTCTGACTGGATTATTTCGCTTAGCATAATGCTCTCCAGGTCCATCCATGCTGTTGCAAATGGAGTTCTTTCTTTTTCACAGCAGCATAGTTTTCTGTTGTGTAGATGTACCACAGGTTTTTAATCCACTCATCTGCTGATGGGCACTTAAGCTGTTTCCAGTCTTAGCTATTATAAATTGTGCTTCTATGAACATAGGGGTGCATATATTCTATTCCAAGAACTCAGAAACACCAATCAGATTCATTGTTTTTTATCAACCTTTGTCATTGATAGGCTTTGCTCTCTGTGCATGACACTGTGGCTCAGAAGAAGTATGATCCAGTATTGCCTCCTATGCCTGATGATATTGATGATGAGGAAGACTCAGTAAAAATAATCCGTCTGGTCAAAAATAGAGAACCCCTGGTAAGTTTTGATCTACTTATTGTGCCCAGATATGAGTAGATATCATGATAAAGCCAAATCTGATGAGGACATTCCAAAAATTCCTCTCTTTAAAATACTTCCTCTGTGTCTTAAAACTTTCAAATAAATGGAACATTTATGTCTAAAGAATATATATGATTTAGAAAAATGAAGGCAAATGAAATGGCATTTTATTGGTTATAAGTAGCAATAATTTTAAAATGTGAATTGTTGACATTTATAAAAGAAAGCGTATGCACCAGTCACAGATGATTTGAGATTAAATGGTACAACTAAGAATAATTGCTTATGGCTTTTCTAGGAAGTTAATTTTATTTATTTATTTATTATAATATTTTTTAAAATTGATTTCTGAGAGGAAGGGCAAGGGAGAGAAAGATAGAAACATAAATATTGAGAGAGAATCATTGATCAGCTGCCTCCCGCACACCCCCTGCTGGGTATCAAGACCATAACCCTGGCATGTGCCCTGACTGTGAATCGAACTGTGACCTCCTGGTTCATCAGTTAACTCTCAACCACTGAGCCACACAGGCTGGGCTAATAAAAAGGTTTGAATGGGAGATTATTCCAGATTAGCTGGTGGGCTCAATCTAATCACAAGTGTTATAACTAAAGTGAAAGAAGGAGGCACAAGGGCCAGAGTAACAGAAGGAGATGTGATGATGGAAACAGAGGTTGGAGCGATGTGGCATTGAGCCACAGAATGCTAGAAGCTTCTAGCAAATGGAACAAGCAAGGACTGAATTTTATCCTACATCTGCCAAAGAAATGTAGCCCCGCTGACACTTTGATTTTAGCCCCTTAATACCCATTTTGGCCTTCCTACTTCCAAATTGTAAGGTAATACATTTGTGTTGTTTAAACCATTAAATCTGTGGTCATTTGTTATAGCAGTAATAGGAAATAAATATGCAGTGTATCCATCTACACTAATAAAAGACAAAGATGCTAATTGACCATACCTTCACTACGCCCATCAGCCAATCAGAAGAGTATGCAAATTAACCCAACAAAGATGGCCATTAAATTTGCATACTGCCGGCAGGGCCGGACAGCGCCCATCCGCCGCCTGCCCCGCCGCCATCCAGGCTTGCCATCTGCGACCCCGGGGCGGTGGAGCAGGACAGCGCCATCCGCTGCCTGCCCTGCCGCCATCCAGCCCTCCTGTGTGCGACCTGGGGCGGCTGGACAGGACAGCAGCAGAGACAGGAGGAAGCCAGGCGGCGGAGACGGGAGGAATCGAGGCGGTGGAGAAGGGAGCCAAGCCTGCCTTGGTTGCCAAGGCAGGCTTCGCTCCCTTCTCCACCGCTTTGCTCCAGCCTCAGGAAGCCCTATTCTTGCAGGAATAGGCCTGAGGAAGCCCTATTCTTGCAGGAATCTTCCTGCAACGGGCCTCTAGTATATTTATAAATCTACAGTCAAAATAAAAAATAAATTTCATTATCTAGCACTTGATTTTAAATGTTGTTTATTCTAATTAAGATATTTCTATTTTCTTAAAGCAAATAGCAGTTGATAAGATAATAGTTGCTAAGTACTATGTTAAGTACTTTACATGCATTATATTTAATTCTCATAGTTGGTATGAGGATCATAGTTTTTCTTTTTACAAACCAGGAAACTAATGTTGAGAGAAGTGAAGCAACTTACCCAAGTATGAGAGCTAATGAGTGTAGAACCAAGATCCAAACTTGACTCTCTGTTTTTAAATACTAGCTTGTTTTTTTATCCTTGTTTTTTTTTAATACTCACATCAGAATATGTTTTAATTGATTTTTAGAGAGAGGGGAAGGAAAAGAGAGAGAGAAAAATCAGTGTGAGCGAAACATCGATTGGTTGCCTCTCATAGGCACCCTGACCAAGGATCTGATCTATGACCTAGTTATGCGCCCTGATGAGGAATCAAACCCGAAACATTTTGGTGTATGGGACGACACTCCTCCCAACTGAGCTACCCCACCAGGCTCTAGTTTTTTCTTTTATACCATATTGTGTCTTTTCACTTTTCCCTTTTGGTTCTTTTTCCTCTTCTTTTTTTTTGTTTAAGGGTAACTTTGGTATATTGATAAATGCATTGGACATTCCTACTCAGAAAAATGTACAGATAAGTTTGCATATTATGTCAAGGGATTTATTGAGCCCCTGAATCTCATCCATGGATATCCTAAAGTACCATGCCTTCTGATAAAATAAGATCTTCAAAATGTTTATCAAAGAAATTCGGCATGTACTGCATCAAGATTTCACAAAAGGTTTAACTGGAGCTACTATGAGTTAGTTTATATTCATAAAAGTTGAATGACATATATAAAATAATCTAAAGCTGTGTTATCATAGTTTGTTACTAAACATTTATTTAGCTAATAAGCATGTAACAACTGAAATAATTTGACCTAACTTTGAGGTAGTGATTATGCATCTAATACCCTCTTCCATTATAGATTATATAATACAAGTTATATAAGATAGTGGCAAGAGTGACATGTTAGATTTGATAGGACCTGTGGATGCAGAGGTCAAGAGGAGAGAGGAAGTCAACAGTAGCATAGGAGGTTTTTATTTAGGTGACTAGAAGTATTATACATTCAATTGGCAAGAATAAAAGAAAATACATGGGAATATAAATGACTAATTCCCTTATGATTATACTGAGCCTATGGGGCTATGCAGGTGATAGCAAAAGGTTAGATATTTAGGAAAGGGAACCAGGGAAATTTCTTTAAAAATAGTGTTGAATTGATAAGTTATTTAAAAACTGAATATTTATCTTTAGCATGAGAATGTTTTACAGGTTTGTAATATTTGTGTATTTGGGGGATATTATAAGCATCTCTCAAAATTATTCAGTTTCTTAGTAGTATATTATGGTATAACTAGAGGCCTGGTGCATGAATTTGTGCACCAGTGGGGTCCCTTGGCCTGGCCTGTGGGATCAGGCCAAAACTGCCTCTCTGACATCCCATGAGGGGTCCCAGATTGTGAGAGGGCTCAGGCCAGGCCGAGGGACCCCACTGGTGCATGATCGGAGCTGGAGAGGGGCCGCGGGAGGGCTCCAGGGTGTGTCTGGCCTGTCTCACTCAGTCCTGATCAGCTGGACCTCAGCAGCAAGCTAACCTACCGGTCAGAGCATCTGCCCCCCGGTGGTCAGTGCACATCATAGCAACTGGTCAACCAGTCGACTATCTGCCCACGGTGGTCAGTGCACATCATAGTGAGTGGTTGAGTAGCCTTAGCATATCATTAGCATATTACGCTTTGATTGGTTGAATGGACCACTGGACACTTAGCATATTAGGCTTTTATTATATAAGATTTGGCAAGTTTGTAATGTACTTAATAGCATTTTCCTCTCTGCTTCCCCAAAAATGGGCAAGGAGAGAGAAGCCAAAGTAAAATAAAATTCTTTCAAGTGTATGTATGCTCAGTATATTTTGGCAAATGATTCAAGAGAAAAGGCCATATTCTTTAGCAGCCAAGGGTTAGATTATCCATGTTAAGAATGTAATTTTGTTTATTTGACCCAGGTGTAATGTGGTAAAATGAATACCAAGCTTGCATTAGGTGACCTAAGTGTGTGTTATAGGGTGTCACTTATTTTCCATATATCCTTACAGCAGCAAGTTATTTAACAACTCCATCTCAGATTCCTTATCAGAAAGTATACCTCTTTGAGAGTGTTTTAAATATCATCTGAGATATAATGTATTTGAAATGCTTTATATGTTCTTGTGTATTATGTGTTAGATAAATGGTCCATCAAATAATAAGGTAGAGGCTAGATGACAACTATTTAAGCACAGCATGATTTTCTAGAAGGGGCAGTGAACAAAGATCATGTAGGCATTTGTCAATGGAAAGGGAAAAGGGTGCTAATTCTAGGGGAGGGATGGATAAAAGAATTGAGAGAAGGGGTGAAAAACAACAATCAGGATATAAGGGGCAGAGCTATCCTCCCTCCCTTGTGAGTTTGGAGAGTTTATATTTGTTGTATCCAGAAGATTAATTTTTAGACAAGCTTAAGAAAATGAAATTCTATTAGTTGGTAGGTGGATTTCATCCTAAATTTTCAGCGTTTCTTGCATGGGTTGTCTTCTTGGTTCTTTTAGAATAGTGGTTCTCAAACTCTGGTATTATAAGAATTACTTGAAGCACTTACTTAAAAATGCAGACTTCTGGGCCTCTACTGCAAATGGTCTACATTAGTAGGTTTTGGGCAAGGCCTGGGAATCTAGATTTTAAAAGTTGTCTAAGAGGTTTTTGATGCAAATATTTGGTAGACCATACTTTGAAAATTCCTACTTCAAAGGATTAACTTGAAATCAACTGTGCTACCAGCTTAAAAAGGTCTTACAATATTGGCAGTGTTACAGGAGATGAAATTTTTATTCAAGGAGATCATGATAGCCTAGTCCTCTTTGCAATCCTCTTTTATAAACCATTTTATAGTAATAGCAACAAGTATCTAACCAGAATTTATTCTTCTCAATCTAACCTAAAGTTCTCTATACTCATATTTTGTCAAAATCACACCAAATAAATTAAAAATAACTATATAAGAAAATATGTTTTAAAACATTAGATTCGATTTTAATTCATTTTGCATTTGCAAATATGCCTTAGGACTTTTAACTTTTGTACAGTATTATAGTCAGTGAGCTTTATTCTTATGCATGTTGCACTAAGAATACATCAAAGAATTATGATATAGCGGTTTGGAAAGCAAAATGGAAATAGTTATCTTCAGAAGTAAAGAGATTGTAAAGAAGATAAGTCAAGTGCTAACTAGTGTCATGTAGAAAGTGGGAGATTATTCCTCATAGTTTACCATCCAAGGAAGGGGAGAATCAGCGGATAGCAAATGTATTCTATTTTAGGATACATATCTATAACAAGGTAGCCCTTAAATACTGGAGTGCTCTTTTTTATTTACACATTCTGGAAGTGATTCATACAACATCTGTATGCTAGTGACTCCC